TGTAAGGGGTATATCTGGAATTTTGGATTTTGTTGTAATAAAGTATGGGTAAAATTTTAGATAAAACCCTGCCGTTGGTATGATTTGTGCACCAGCCATCTGAATTTTAAAAGTTGGCTTGGCTTCACTCTGGTACCCAAGGTTTACCTCTTTCTTCACTTTGATATCCCGTACTTTGAATCTAATTTCATTCCGATACCCTTACATATGTTTTAACATTTTGATACCTCCAGAGTTTTAATTTCATTTCACTTTAATACTCTATTCAGATTCCATTAGATTTGTGGTTGAATTTATCTTTAGCGTGTGATGCATTTAGATCTATTTTGCATCTGTTGCTAAACACTAATACAAAATTAATGAAACAAAATAAAAACTAAACCGAATCTATTCGAAAAGGCATCAAAGTGAAATGAGATCTAAGCTTTGAGGTATCAAAATTCTAAAAGGATACTTTGTGGTATCAAATCGAGAATTGATTAAAACTTTAGGGTATCAAAGTGTTTAAAAAATACTTTTGGGCTATCAAAGTGAAAATAAATAGAAGAAAAGTTGAGAATTTGTGTAAACCTGTCCAAAGCTTGAGTCGTTTTCCTGTAATTTTTGAAGTTTATGAAGTTTTTTTTTTTGCAAATCACCCCGAAGTTGAGGTGGCTTTCTGACGTTTATCCCTAAAGTAACGGCAAATGTGCCATTATGTAGTAGGCAAGTCAGTGTATTATTCTGTGAGGAATATTACAATAATAAGCAAAGGTAGTTTTATGCCTAAAATACCTGTCACAATAATATATGGTTTGCGCACATCTGTATCTGTGTATAAACCATGTACTTCACAATGTGTTAACTTATTTTTTAATTGATCAATTAGTAGTTGTTTATTGCTTAATTTTTGTTCTTTAAGTTGGAAATAGTTGGGGTGTGTTCTCTTTTCACATGGGGGATGTTAGAGGAATCTGAGTATTTTTAGGCCTATTAGTTTGTGCAATGTTGCGATCTAGAGACGATCGATCAAAGAGATACCTCTTTATCGGTAGAGGAAATTAAGCATAGTTATCAATATAGAAACCATGGTAGGATGTGTAGTTCATGATGCAACCATGAATTATGCAACCTCAAATTATGTATAATAGATGCATGTACATGTTTGTATGTAATGTGTACGTATAATATATTAATTTGCAGAGCAAAACTTGTGTCAACTTAAGTGGATAACAAAAAGTTATCCGCCAAACGTTTTAGCCACTCATATTGCCTAGGGATCCTTGAATGATATGAAAATATTTTTTATATTAATAAATGAGTGGCTAGGAAGTTTGGTGGACATCAACTTAAGTTGATATGAGTCTTACTCTAATTTGCATGTAAATGAAACTAAAAAATTGAAGTAAATCGTTCAATAAATTTAACGATTTCTATAGAATGAAAAAAAAGGCCAATTGCATACACAATAGATGTGGCGTTGTGTGACTAAATAAAGGAAAACTTTATTTAATATACCTTGCAACTAAAAATATAATTCTATGCCACAATTAAATAATTATTTTTAATAAACTTATATACTTTAAATTAATGCAAGTCTTTTTAATTGTTTTTATATAATACTTTTTTCAGAAGATCATATAAGTATACTTTCTAAATGTTTTTTTAGTTTTTTTGGTAAAAATCAATATCATATATATTTTATGTAAATTAAATAATTGTCAATGTAAGGTTGAAAAAATATGTCCTAAGAAGTAAATAAGATGCCTCCTTATGAGTATCGGAACCAACCAACCGAAAAAAAAAAAATAGAGAGAATTGGAACCATCAACTTCTATGTTTTTTGTCGGAACATAGTTTAATACTGGTGTCGAAAAATCAATTTTTCAAACACAAATAAAAATATGCAATAATCGTGAGAGAGATGAAGACAAGTAATATTGTCACAATCAGAGTTTCTTGTTGATTGAGATTTGAATGGCTTGGAAAGATACCCGAAGAGAAGGATTCACGCAATTTGTGAGGATACAATTTACTGTGTCTTGAGATTTTAAGTTTGGTTGTTATCTTGAAAGTGACCCAATGCTTTGGCTTGAAAATGCATGACATTTGGCATTACATATTTAGATGCAACCTATGTAATGCCGTAAATTTGGCATATACTATTTTCTTGTGAGATAATGAAATTTTGATTAAGTTTGGAGTTTTTTTTAAGGAAAATGCCAAAATTTTAGATGTGATCTCTTTACTAAGTTGATTAGGCTTGGAGTATCTGTGTACATATGTTATAATAATTTTTCTTTTGGAGGATGATGCCAAATATTGTAATCATCCTACTTAGAAATGCTAGTAAGATCATGTTGTTTATCTTATCGATCAAAATTGCTTGGGTTTTCTCGATATTAGTCTAGTTAAAACTCCAATGATTGAAACTGCTATTAGATCTCTAAATCTTACGAGTTGTCTCGAAAAGTCAAAACTAGCCTCTAGAATCATTAAAATTATTATTAAGTTCCTCATATCTTATAAGTTGTTTCAGATTAATCTCTCAAATCAAGAATAGCAGTAGTAATATGTAAAAACTAAGGACCTAAAAGAGATTTCAATGATTTGAGGACTAATCTCAAAATGTTAATGATTTAAAGACTAATAGCTCGAGAATCAATTAACTTCATTAGCAAAAAATAAAAGATAACGTGCGTTTTCAAGATACAAGCAGGTCATCAATATCGGTAGATAATCTATTAACCATACATATTGACAATCAGGTAGGCTTATAAATTTAATAAGCTCTGTGTCGTGCGCATCGGAACTCGAAACACACGAAAAAGCACAAACAAGAACGAGATAGATCACAACAATATGTAAAACACAATCACCACAGCAAGACAAACGGATTTTACGTGGTTCGAGTTCCGCTGCGCACAACAAGTGGTATCAGAGCTTCGGGTTTGGCTTGGGGCTTGTTTGAAGGATTCGCTGAAGGATTCTTATTTGAAGAGTTAGATCGTCAACATGGGTGAAGCAAGCACATTAGGATTGTCTCTTACGAAGGCGATACAGAGTCTGAGCAATAATAACACTAAGATTGATGTTCCGAAGTTTGATGACAATATTAATTTTGGTTTGTTGAGATGCCAAGTGATGGATGTGTTGGATGCACAAAATTTGGAGGAGACTATTAAGTTACAAGAGAAACCTGAAGACATGGAGGACGAGGTTTGGAAGAAGATGAACAGTAGGGCTTGTGGAGTTATTCGATCATGCTTGACACTAGATCTTATTTATGATATGATGAACGAGACGTAGGCGAAGAGATTGTGAGAAACGCTCAATGAAAAGTATCTTACGAAGAGCATTGAGAATCGACTTCACTTGAAGAAGAGGTTTTACCAGTTCAAGATGAAGAGGAGAGTTTCCATTAGGGAGCATGTTAATAACTTCACAAAGTTGCTTTCGGATATGGCCAATGTGGATATTATGGTTGAGGATGAAGACAAGACGATGCTACTATTGTGTTCGTTACCGAAGGATGATTATGGTATATTTATTCTCACTATGATCAATGGATGAATTACTGTTAGCTACAAGGAGATAATCTCGGCGTTGGTGAATTATGAGTTAAGGAAAAGTGATGGCGAACCCTCCAAAAAGGTAACGGGAGATGCATTAACAGTTCGAGACTGTAGTCCAAACCGTCGCCAGTTCAACCGCTCAAAGTCAAAGAATAGAGATGGCCATAAGAGTGTTGGTAGAAATCAATGTGCTTTTTGTAAAGAAGAGGGACATTGGAAGAACGAGTGCCCAAAGTTGAAGGATAAAGCCGGAAAGAATAATGGGAAAGCTGTACAAGCTTCAGATGTGAATGTTGCTAAAGCTGTTAGCTACAATTCAAATTTGGATTCTTCAGGCAATTCATGCCCTGCACTATCGTCAATTTGCTATGCCGATTCTACGGAGTGGATGTTGGATTCGAGAGCTACATTTCATATTTGTCCTAGGAGGGATTGATTCTCCAGCTTTGAGGAGCTGAAAAGAGGGGATGTCGTGCTTATGGGTAATGATCACGTATGTCCTATTGGTAAAATTGGTACAGTCCGGATCAGGATGCATGACGAGGTGACTAGAGAGTTGAAAGAAGTAAGGTTTGTGCCGTAGTTTATGAAGAACATCATTTCTCTTGGGACTTTGGAGGCAGCAGGTTATCGAATGATCTTAGAGGATGCTACTGTGAAGGTCACAAATGGTTCTATGATGGTGATGCGAGGTGTCAGGGAAAACAACTTATACTACTTGAAGGGCAAGATAGTTACAGGGGGTCTGGCAGATTCTATTACTACAGAGGAGGACACTACCACCTTATGTCATATGAGACTTGGACACACTGGTGATAAGTCCCTGCAGACATTAGCAAAACATGGACTATTGAAAGGTACGAAGATCTGCAAGATGGAGTTGTGTGAGCATTGTGTACTTGGGAAGAAGACCAAAGTGAAGTTCGGCACCGCTATTCACAATACCCAAGGTATATTGGATTACATTCACACAGATGTTTAGGGTCCTTTCAAACACACATCACTTGGTGGGGCTAACTATTTTGTCACATTCATTAATGACTATTCCAGGAGAAATTAGGTATATACAATGAAGCATAAACATGAGGTCCTAGATATTTTTGTGGAGTGGAAGAAGAAAGTAGAGCTGCAGACAGGTAGAAATGTGAAGACTCTTAGTTTGGA